AAGGAGACAGAGGGGAGGGTCAAAGTGTCCCTCTCGCATTGGACATTTTTGTGAAGTTTTTTTTTTTTTGGCTGGGCTGTGTGGCTTGCAGGATCTTAGTTCCCTGACCAGGGATTGAACCCAGGCCCCCTGCATTGGGAGCGTAGACTCTTAACCACTGGACCACCAGGGAAGTCCCTAAAGTAACTTTAATTCAAAATAATCATTATGACACTTTGGCATATTTGGGGGTGACCTGCTCTGAGCCCCAGTAAATGCATACTCTGCTGTGGGCTTTATTTTTTTCCTTTTCATATGTACTCCTGGAACGTAGGGTAGTCCTACATTCTCACTCCCATTATCCAGATGGGAAACAAAAGCTCAAACATGTTCAAGGATTTTCCTCCTTGGCTTTATACAGAATTTGAATCCAGATGTGGCTGATTCCACACCACGCTTTAGGAATTTCTACAGCAGTAAATCTTGAAGTGTGACCCCCTGACCAGCAGTATCAGCATCAACATCACCTGGGGACTTGTTAGAAATGCAAATTCTTGGACTCCGCCCCAGACCTAGTCAATCAGAAACTCTAGGGTAGGACCCAGAGATCTGTTTAACAAACACTTTGGGTGATTCTGATACACACTAAAGTTTAAAAACCATAGTGCCATCGTAAGTACTATCTTCCTTGAGAATAACCAACTTATCAGTGTCCTTATTTTGTCCCCTGGTAGGTGGAGCATGGAGGCTGGGTGTTGAAAGCTCTGTAATTCTCATTATCCTTTTAGCCTCTGATCCCTGGGAACTCATTATGGATGGCTCCTTCCCCCTCATTCCTAAGAACAATTGGTAGACACTTGGAGAACCGCCTAGTCAGTCCTTTCTTGCCTCTTTGGAAAGGTCCAAAGATCCTGAAGTAGACTGAGGGGACAGAGTTGGTAAGGATCTAAGTCTGTCTCCTGCCATGGATTCTTCCAGGAGATAGCACTCACCCAGTTATTTCTAAGCCGGACTTGGATGTGATCCTACCAAGAACAGGAGGAGGTAAGATTTGAGTCTCCATGAATGGTGTTAAATATTCCCTGATCTGCAGGATTCTCTGGCTGAGGGAGAAGTATAAAACAGAAGCGAGGGTGGGGTTTTGTTCCCTAAGAACATCTATGAAGTTCGAGAAATGAGGGGCAACTGATTTCTCAAAGCTCAGTGGGCCGGAGCATGAGTAAAGCAAACCAGAAAGAGTTCCTTCGGGATTTTTTATTAATTCATTTATTTTTTTAATCATGACAAAATATATCAAATAAAATGTACCCTTTAAGCTATTTTAAGTATGCAGTTCAGTAGCATTAAATTCAATCCCATTGTTGTGCAACCATCACCACCATCCATCTCCAGAACAGTTTTCATGTTGCAAAACTGAAACTCTGTCCTCATGAAACACTACCCCTCCCCATTCTGCCATCCCCCCAGCCCCTGGCAACCACCCTTCTGCCTTCTACTCTCTGTATGAATTTGACTACTCTAAGTACTTCATATAAGTGGAATCTTACCGCATTTTTCTTTTTGTGACTGGTTTTATTCACTTAGCATCATGTCCTCAAGGTTCATCCATGTTGTAGCATGTGTCAGAATGCCCTTCCTTTTTAAGGCTGAATAATATTCCACTGTATGTATATTCCACATTTTGCTTATTCATTCATCTGTCACTGGAGACATGGGCTGCTTCCACCTTTCAGTTATTGTAAATAATGCTGCTAAGAACATGGGTGTATAAGTAGCTCTTGGAGATCTTACTGTCAGATCTTTTGGATGCAGACCCAGAAGTGGAATTGCTGGATCATATGGTAATTCTATTTTTAATGTTTTGAGAAGCTCTTCAACATTTTCTTTAAGAAAAACAGAAAACAACAAGGTCCTACTGTATAGCACAAAGAACTATATTCAATATCCTATGATAAACCATAATGGAAAAGAATGTGAAAAGTATATATATATATTATATATAAAATATATAACATATATATTATATATAACGGTGACTTTGCTGTTCAGTAGACATTGGCACAACATTGTAAATCAACTGTACTTCAATAAAAAATTAAATTAAATTAAAAAACATAAATAATCAATAACAGAAAGGAAACCTAAATACACTGAAAAAATATGAAAAGGATTATGCCAATATCTGTGTTATGGTCTAAAAGTTTGTGTACCCCCAGAATATATATGCTGAAATCCTAACCCCAATTATGATGGTATTATGAAGTGGGGCCTTTGGGAGGTGCTTAAGTCATGAAGGTAGAGCCCTCATGAATGGGATTAGTGTCTGATAAAAGAGATCCCTCACCCCTTCTGCCAGGTAAGGATGTAAGAAGTCTCTAGCCTCCAGGCCGAACCTCCCTCCATCACCCAACATGCTGGCACCCTGATCTCAGACTTTCATTCCAGCCTCCAGAATGATGAGAAATAAACTCCTATTGTTTATAAGCTAAAAAAAAAAAAAAAGAACGAAAAAGAAAAACAGAAAAATTACAAAATCTCTTTCTTGCCTTTTTAAACTTTCCAAATGTTGAAATTTCATTCATGTTTCTGGAATTGTGACAGTTAAACAGATCAGTCTGTGCGTCAGAAAATTAAGGGGAAGAGGAGCATCCTTAAGTAAGCTCAATATTTTCTCTTCCATAAAGACTAATATAACAATAACTATTCTGTTATTAATAAAAAACAATAATGGCAATGAAAGCCAATATTTCTGGAGTATTCCCTATGTCCCTAGTACTCAGAACGTTTCCTATCTAATGCATATGTCTTATTAATTTGAAGGACACAAATGTCCTTTGAACGTTGCTCAACTTCTTTTCCTTTGTGACTAGACACCTGTCCTTCCTCCTTTGCTTCATAAACCATTGCCTGGGTTCTGATCCTGCCAAGGGGTCTGGATGTTAGCCTTGGCTAGTTCATGAGTTCCCTCCCACATGCCAGCCAGTGTGAAGGCAGAGCTTAAAAATGCTCACTTGTTTCCTTTGCTCTCTCAAGACTCTATGCATTCCATCCTCCCTTCACTTCTGTTACAAATATGTGTCCTTCCAAAGCTCATATTCTGAGATGAATAATTTGCTTTTGATTAGAGCAGGAAATGACACATCTTCATCAATTATGTGTCCTGCTGGTATTTGCACACCAGCTCCTAGAATTATTCACTCTTGAAGCTTTCTCAGTGAAACCACATGGAGTGTCAGTTTTACAAGGTAAATTCATTGCTGAGAGTACCTTGCCCCATGTGTAATTATTACAGGGCCCAGATGTTGGAAGAACTTGAATGCCAAAGTGAAGACTTGGGGGTTTATTGGGTAGAATGCCATTGAAGTGTTCAGAAGGATGTGCTGGACCTTCCCTGGCACGCTTGGGAGGAAGATTGCTCTGCAAAAATGCACAGGGTTAAATGCATTCAAGAGTACTTGGAGGGGCTTCCCTGGTGGCGCAGTGGTTAAGAATCCGCCTGCCAATGCAGGTAACAAGAGTTCGAGCCCTGGTCCAGGAAGATACCACACGCCACGGAGCAACTAAGCCCATGCACCACAACTAATGAGACTGCGCTCTAGAGCCCACGAGCCACAACTACTGAGCCCATGTGCCACAACTACTGAAGCCCGTGCGCCTAGAGCCCGTGCTCCGCAACGAGAAGTCACTGCAATGAGAAGCTCGCGCCCCGCAACGAAGAGTAGCCGCCACTTGCCGCAGCTAGAGAAAGCCTGCAAGCAGAAACGAAGACCCAACGCAGTCAAAAATAAATAAATAAATTTTTAAAAGAAAGAGTACTTGGAGGGTAGGGGATAATTACAAAGCCATTGCCATATAGACATGTCCAAAAAGGTAGCTACCAAGGAACAACTAGTTGAAAGAAATATGCTATAAAATGACTCTTTCTGAGTTTCTAGACTTGCAGGATCTCAGTTCCCTGACCAGGGACTGAACCTGGGGCCACAGCAGTGAAAGCGCCGAGTTCTAACTACTGGACTGCCAGGGAACTCCCTAAATCAGTTTTTCAGAAAAAGCATTAGCTATTCTTGTTTTAAGGGCCAGACAGGAATTGCCCCTACAGGTATGACACTTCCACAATAGACAAGATGTAGATTCAGTTAACCTTTTCTTATAAATGTCCCTCACTGTAGGCTGATGGCAAATGACAGATTGCAGCAGAACAGTTCTTTCTATATAGACAGGTTCCAATAGAGTGGTTTGATCCAATTCATAAAAAGTAGAATATTTAAAGGAATGGATTAATGATATTATTTCTCACATTGAGACAGTAAAGAATCTGAGCTTATAATTTCCAGCAATACCTGAGATTTGCCATTCTGAGCAGACTCAGTATAAAGTTAACTACAGAGTTAAAATTCTCTGAGAAAGTGCAGTCATCCAACCAGGTTTGACCCTATGTGAAGAAACGATGAGAATTTAATCACGGATTTTATTTATTTATTTAATAAATTTATTTTATTTATTTATTTTTGGCTGTGTTGGGTCTTCACTGCTGTGCATGGGATTTCTCTAGTTGCAGTGAGCGGGGGGTACTCTTTCTTGCAGTGTGCAGGCTTCTCATTGCGGTGGCTTCTCTTGTTGCAGGACACGGGCTCTAGGTGCATGGGCTTCAGTAGTTGTGGCTTGCAGGCCCATTAGTGGTGGCTCTCAGGCTCTAGAGCACAGGCTCAGTAGTTGTGGCACACAGGCTTAGTCACTGCGGCATGTGGGATCTTCCCGGACCAGGGCTTGAACCCGTGTCCCCTGCGTTAGCAGGCGATTCCTAACCGCTGCACCACCAGGGAAGCCCTAATCATAGATTTTTAAATGCCATGCAGGCATGATAGTTCCTAAAAAAATTAAATATTTTAATTTTTAATAAAATGTTTTAATTTTTAGTATTAGAACAAAACGTATGGTACTTAGAAGTCATTAAAAAATTACTTGGTGAAGGAAGAAATGAGTAGAGCAACCAGAAGGGAATAATTGTTTAAATGACTTCTCTCAAACAAGTGATGTCTGTGTGTCTGTTTCATGGTAAGTCATGTCTCTATTTTCCAGTAGACTCATCGACAACATGGAACCAGAAAACCAGACTGGTGTCTCAGAATTCCTCCTCCTGGGCCTCTCAGAGGATCCAGAACTGCAGCCCCTTCTCTTTGGGCTCTTCCTGTCCATGTCCCTGGTCACTGTGCTGGGGAATCTGCTCATCATCCTGGCCATCAGCTCAGACTCCCACCTCCACACCCCCATGCACTTCTTCCTCTCCCACCTGTCCTTTGTTGACATCTGTTTCACCTCCACTATAGTCCCCAAGATGTTGGTGAACATCCAGACAGGGAACAAAGTCATCACCGATGCAGGCTGCCTCATTCAGGTGTATTTTTTCATGGTTTTCATATGTATGGACAATTTGCTCCTGACCATCACGGCTTATGACCGCTACGTGGCCATCTGCCACCCTCTGTATTATGCAATCATCATGAACCCCTGTCTCTGTGGTCTGATGATTCTTTGCTCCTTGTTCATTAGCATTATGAACACCTTGCTCCACAGTGTGATGGTGTTGCATCTGTCCTTCTGCACAGACTTGAAAATCCCCCACTTCTTCTATGAACTTGCTCAGATCCTCAGACTCGCCTGTTCTGATACTCTTATCAATGACATCCTGATGCATCTAGTGACTAGCCTGTTAGGTGCCGGTCCCCTCGCAGGGATAATTTTCTCTTACACTCGCATTGTCTTGTCCATCCTGAGGATCCCATCAATTGGTGGGAAGTATAAAGCTTTTTCCACCTTTGGGTCTCACCTGTCTGTCGTTTTCTTATTCTGTAGGACCTGTGTTGGAGTTTACCTTAGTTCTGCAGCTACTCTCTCCCCCAGGAGGAGGGCAGTGGCCTCAGTGATGAACACTGTGGTCACTCCTATGGTGAACCCCTCCATCTACAGCCTAAGGAACAGGGCCATAAAGGGAGACTTGAGGACACTGATCTCTGGAACATTTTCTTTTTCATGATTCTGTCATCTGCCTTGGGTGTGGGCTTCTAGAAAGAGTCAAAGGGAATGAAATACTGGGTATGCAAGAATTCCTGACTCTTCCAAAATTCAGTTCTCCTAGCAACGTGATTAATCATGGGTTTTCAAATCAGATATCTTTGTATTAAATCCTTCTATCCTGGGAATTCCCCGGAGGTCCAGTGGTTAGGACTCTGAGCTTCCACTGCAGGGAACACAGGTTCGATCCCTGGTCGGGGAACTAAGATCCTGCAGGCTGCAATGCAGCAGCAGCAGCAAAAAAAAAAAAAAATCCTTCTATCCTGTGTTTCACTACCTGTCATTTATCAGCTAACTTAACTCTCTGAGTTCAGTTGACATCTATAAAATAAGCAAAATATTACATATTTAATAGTGATATAGGGAATATATCTCATATATGGGAATACATGGATATATGAGATAGTTTAATATATGTGTACAGACATTTGTCTGTATTAAGCTCTAGTAAAATCAAATGTGTAATTATCAGGTGTTAACCAAAGTCAATTAATCTCAATAAAGCTGGAGGAAAAAATTATTATCAGATGTGCAGACCATGTGTTTATAAACTTGTAGTGAACACTCATTTGCTTTCACATTATACTTAGATAAACCAGTTCTCGTTTCATTTCTCCCTTCTGAGTCATCCTCATTTTCCTCATTTCTGCTGCAATCTATGCAGAGAAATTGATTTGAATAAAGTCAATTGAGAGTTTTTATTTAATCCATGAGTTATATAGAAGTGCATTTTTTAGTATCCAATTATATGGAGGACCTCTTTTCCTTCTTTTGTTATTGGTTTTTAGTATCATTGCATTGTGGCTAAAGAACACACTCTGTATAATTTTAATTCTTTGAAATTTATTGAGATTTGCTCTCATGCACTTGTGGTTAAACTTAGTAGGTGACCTGTTTACGCTGAAAGATCAATGTGGACAACGATTGAGTGCATTTTCTATATATGCCCAATAGGTCAAGTTGGTTAATCACGTTGAAATCTTATTTTTACTGATTTTTTTTTTTTTTTTTTTTGCAGTATGCGGGCCTCTCACTGTTGTGGCCTCTCCCGTTGCGGAGCACAGGCTCCGGACGCGCAGGCTCAGCGGCCATGGCTCAGGGGCCCAGGCGCTCCGCGGCATGTGGGATCTTCCCGGACCAGGGCACGAACCCGTGTCCCCTGCATCAGCAGGTGGACTCTCAACAACTGCGCCACCAGGGAAGCCCTACTGATTTTTTTTTTTGTCTCCTTGTTGTATCAATTATGGAGTGATATATGCTAAAATCACCCAGTGTGATATAGAATTTGACTATCTCTGCTTGCAGTTCAATCAATAGACTATTGAGGGGCTTCCCTGGTGGTGCAGTGATTAAGAATCCACCTGCCAACGCTGGGGACACGGGTTCGAGCCCTGGTCTGGGAAGATCCCACGTGCCGTGGAACAGCGAAGCCCGCGAGCCACAACTACGGAAGCCTGCACACCTAGAGCCTGTGCTCCGCCGCAACAAGAGAAACAACTGCAACAAGAAGCCCGCGTACCACAACGAAGGGTATCCCCCGCTCACCTCAACTAGAGGAAGCCCATGTGCAGCAACGAAGACCCAACGCAGCCAAAAATAAAATAAATAAAGTTATATATATATAAAAAATCAATAGACTATTGAATACAAATTCAGAATTATTATGTTTTCATGGTGGACCCAATCTTCTATCTTTATGAAGTTACCTTTGTTATCTCTGGGTGTAACAAATGTTTTTGCATTAAAATCTACTTTGTCTGCTAGTAATGCACTGTAGTTACACAACCTTTTTCTGGCATCTACCAGGTGATGGGAAACCTGGCTGCAGTCCATACTGGTTTGCTTCCAGTTCCCCTCTATTCCCCAGAGACATTCCTTTGGGAAGCCAGCCCAAAGAGGGGAGACCCTTACTCTCACTCTTTATCCCTGGTCTTGTAGAGACCTAAAGCTCACTTGGTCCCTTAGCTGCCTCTTGTAGACCACCTCAAGGGTGAAACCAGCCCCAGTGTCTGCCTCACCTCTCTGGAACCCTGTCCTCTCCTAGTCTCCATGCAGTGATTTCTTTTCTGTATAAGTTTAAGGTGTACAATGTACTGATTTGTAAAATGCTTATACTTTGAAAAATGCTTACCACCATAGTGTTAGCTACCCCCTCTATCACATAATTACCATTTGTTTTTTGTAGTAAGAACACTTGATTTATTTTCTTAGCAACTTTCAAGCATACAATACAGCATTGTTAACTAGAGTCGCCATGCTGTGCATTAGATCCCCAGAACTTATTCATCTTATAACTGGAAGTTTGTACCTTTTAACCAACATCTCCCAATTCCCACCCCCTCCTCCCAGAGCACCTGGCAAGCACATTCTATTCTCTATTTTAATGGGTTCGGCTTTTTGAGATTCCACTGCAGTGATTTCTTACTAGTATTTAGATCTTTGTTGCTTTTTAGATTTTTTTTTTTAATGTACACTACATGCATACTTTTCATTGTCTTCAGTTGGAGAGTTGGTCTAAATTTCCCAGCCTTCAATTACCAGCAGCAGAAGTCCTGTATACAGATTATTAAATCAATACTATCTTAGGTTTGAAGCTAAATTTCTGTACCAGCTAAATCAGACTTATGGAGGATACAGTCTTCTAAAGCAGAAGTACCTTTTTTTTTTTTTTTGGCCTGTGCCTGCCGGTACTTGGAATCTTAGTTCCCTGAACATGATTGAACCCGTGACCCCTACGGTGGAAGCACGGAGTCCTAACCACTGGACCCCCAGGGAATTCCCCAGAAGTACCTATTTTCTGAGGTGAGTTCTGTGTACTTTCTGAGAGTGGGGTGGAGGGGATGCTTGTATGAATGGAGGGCTGGTTTTTGTCCCTATGATGTAACAAAAAATATTTCGTCTTTGTTCCCAGTTTCTGACACAGACTCCTAAAACCCTTGGAACCTCCTGAGTGAAAAGAGTGTCTTTGGTATGTTAATGAGATAACTCTTGGCTAAGCGGCTTCTAGAGAGCTTCAGGGCTTGTTGCCAGAAAGACTGAACTTTGATTAGAGGGTTGGAACTTTTCAGCCTCAAACCCCCACCTGTGGAGGTATTGAAGGCTGAACCAATCACCAATGACCAATGATTTAATCCACCTTGTCTATGTAATGAAACCAACATGAAAACCTAAAATGACAGAGTTCAGAGAGCTTCCAGGTTGGTGAGCCAGAACGCATCTATAGGGAATTCCCTGGCACTCCAGTGGTTAAGAGTCCTCGCTTTCACTGCCAAGGGCTCTGGTTTGATCCTTGGTTGGGGAACTAAGATCTTGCAAGCCCGCGTGACACAGCCAAAAAAAAAAAGAGAAAAGAAAAAGTTTGCTCCCTACCCTAACCTTGTTCTTAGCTAAAATCTGAGACTCTTCCATGAATTTTTATAAGTAAAGTTTTACAAACTTCATATAAAAATTATACAAGTTGAGCTGCAGTGTTTCAAATAAAATGTAACAGACAGATGAATAATGATCAACAACTCCAAGGGAAATTCAAGATGCATTTGAAAATCCTTTGAGTCTGCTTGTTTTCTGCATCTCAGGAGGAATTTAGTTTTTCAGACGTTTTTGCCCAGCCTCTAAAGCCCTGGTTCCCAAAGGGAAGTATTGAGCAATTTTACCAGTACTCCCCTAAATCACCCCAACCCTCCCACCCCACCTCCAACCTCAGCACTATTCTCCTTTGGAGCCAAATAAGTCTGTTTTGGGAGGCCATCCTGTGCATTTTGAGGTGTTTAGCTGCATGCCCTGCTTCCACCACTAGATGCCAGTAGCACCCCACCCAAACCAAGTTGTGCTACCCAACACTAATCTCCAAGCATTGCCAAATCATTTCCCATTGTGAACCATCACTAGGGGGGAAAAATAGTTTAACTGAAGACAGGTAAGTTCTCTTAGCGTAAAGTAGGCATTTATATGCATGGTTCAATTATTAATATATAAAGGCGAGCGACAATATTGAGCTTTACCTGTGCTGCTGGAAAACCCAGACAGTTAATCCCCCCACCTCCCGCCATTTTGTGTTCTAGAAACCAGTACTGCAAAGAACCTCTCTTCCCCATAGGAGGAGGATAGGACTCTCTAGTGACCTCCTTGTTTCCTATGACAGGGCCAGACACACACTCTCCAATTCCCATTCTTTTGTCTCATAAATGAGTAGGGGAACTGTTTGTCCCCCTCCCTGACAAACTAGCTAGACATAGAGATTAAGCATTTCTTGCTCAACTAACAGAGTCCCCTGGTTACAATAACAATCCCAAGTGTAAAATCCCTCCACCTATAATTTGCTTATTCCTCCGTATGAAAGTCTAAGGCAAAACCATTCTGCAGAGACACTCTGATGTTTGGATTGGGGGTGTTTTCCTTATTGCGTTAGCCTGAATAAAACCAATCTCCCTACTAGCTCACTTTTTATTGTTTGCCTTTGACAAAAAGTAGCAAAAAAAAAAAAAATGAGGTGGAAGAACGAGTGAACTTGATTGGAAAAGGGCACAAACTTCCAGTTATAAGATTAACAAGGTTGGGGATCCGAGGTGGAGCACAGGTGATTATAGCTAATAATGCTGTATCCTATACTCGGATGTTGCTAAGAGAGTAGATCTCATATGTTCTCGCAGCAAAAAAAGAAATGGCCACTATGTGATGGGATGGAGGTGGTAGCTAACACTCTGGTGGTAACCGGTTTGCAATTTACAAATGTATCAAAGCAACACATTGTACACCTGAAACTTACACAATGTTATTTGTCAATTATAGCTCAATAAAGTTGGAAAAAGGAAAGCAAAAGAAAAGAAAAGATTTGGGAACCTCAGCAGAGCACTAATGAAAAGCTCACCCTCCCGGTATTGACCAGGGGACTTTCGGATAACTCTGCACTCTTTAAGAGGTACAAAGGTGGAAGCAAAACGTGGCAAAGGGAAAAAAAAAAAA